GGCGGTACCGCAGGGGCAGCACCTGCAGGCTGCGCTCCTGCAGGGACCTCACCACTGCCTCGTACTTCTCCAGGGCCTTCTCCTGGTCCTAGCACAGCGGGGGGGGTGGGGGGGGAGGAAGGAGCAAAACCGGTAAGGAAACGTGGGAAGAACAAGCTCCAGCTGGGGAGGAGCTCATGTCAAGGCTGCCAGGACGGGCTGGTGTTTGTAGGAATGAAAGCGGCTCGTGGGTCCTGCTCTGCAGGTGGTGTGTCCCTGCACCCAGTGTCCCTGCACTTCCCTTCCTGCTTCTGCAGCCAGGCTGAGGCCTGGGACTGTGCCCTGGCACTGCCCACTGGGCACTACCAGCCATTCCCTGCTCCACAGCCACCTGCCTGCTGGAAGCCCCAGTCCCAGCCAGTAGCTCTGATCACAGCCCCATCACCAGGCTCTGCTTGCAGCCGTGCTGGGTGGGATGGAGCACACAGGAGGAGTGGAACAGTTCTCAGGAAGAGCTGTCAGCTGTCCCAGGACATGTGCCTGGCCTGGGCCTGCTGCAGCATGCTGGGCTGGGCTGGGCTGGGCTCAGCACAGCCCCACCCAAGTGGGTGATCTCCCAGCCCGGCTCTCACAGCACAGCCAGTTCCACAACCTCCTCTGGCAGCAGGTCTAATTATGCTCCTGCCCTTAATGAGCACTAACTCAATGAAAGAACAAATAAAAACCAGCCCAGTGAGCAATTATGTTGCTATGGGGGAGGCAATCTCTAGCCAGAGGGGAAGGAAGAGTCGAGTGAGGGGGCAGGTAAAGGGAGGCAGCAGCACGGTCCTGAAAGCTGCTCCAGCAGGGATGTCCCTCCCTTGGTGTCAAGGACACTGGCACCTGCTGCTGCCTCACCTTTGGTCCTGCCTGCACTGATACTCACATCCAGCTCCCGGAGCAGAGACTCAAGCTGGTATCTGTCCTTGAACTCTGGGCTGTATTTTTGATCCAGGTCCGTATCCACCTTCTTCAAGAGCTCCTGGGCATCCTTAGCATCTTTCTGAAACTGCAGAAAGGCAAAGGCTCTAGTGAGAGAGGGTGCTGCTGAAATGTGGAGCAGACCCACCCCAGCACATTGGTCTTCATGCTTCCAGAGCAGGGACAGGCACCAGGAGCTGGGATGGGCAGCTGGACACTCAGAAGTACTTGGAGAAAGGAGAGGAATCACCTCTCACATTTCCCATGTTTGGGACAGCAGAGCTAGGGGAAGGACAACCAAGGGCAATTTACTCCATGGTCTTCTCTTGCTGAGTTGTTAAATTCCACCTTTCCCAGCCCTCAATTTTGGTTCACTGGGACAACAACAGGACAGTGCCTGGTGTCTCCTTCACCAGTGCCAAGGAGCAGTGCAAGGAGCCAAGCTCTTCCACACACAAACCACCCCCTGGGGCAGTTATTCTGGCAGGTACCCACACAAGGCACTGCCTGGGCTGGGCACCAGCCTTCAGCTTTGGCAACAGACTCAGCACATCTTCAACACACCCCGGCTGTGGGAAAGGAATCCAGGTGGACCTGCTCCTCAGCAGAGCCTCTCTGGCTGCTGGATGCCATTTATCCAGCAGACATCTGTCTGCCCAGCTCAGCTGGGGCGTTGAGCCCTTGTGCTGGGCTCCCCGGGGGGACAACTCTGCTTTCTGCAGGTGGAATTACCCCACTTGGACCTGTTCTGCTTCCAAGAGGAGCTTGCAAATTCTCCCTGAGCCTTGTTTTGGGGGTGAGGTACCTCCAGGAGATAGCTCAGCTGTCCTGTGGATGGGGATGCCAACACCAGGCTGTGGCTCCTGGACCCTGTGTTGGAGCTTTCTGCAAGTCATGCTTTGGCCAAGCAAGTTTGGTGCTTGAGCAATTATGACTTGTGTTACCAGCTCAGAGTGGTCCTCTGAGCCTGAAAGCCCCCGTAAAGGACTACATCTTTTCTACCCTGTTTCCAGAGCAGCAGGAGCTCGTATGTTTGCTGGGGTCTCCTGCAACCCAGCACCTACTCTGTGTGCTGGGCAGTGCCCCTGGGGGGCTGGTACCTTGTGGAAGTCCTCCATGAACTTGAGGTGGCTCTCCTCACAGATCAGCAGGTTGAGATACTCCTTCCAGTCGGCGTGCACTGCCTCGATGTGGGCCTGCAACACAGGGGGGTGGGAGGTGGACCTTGGCAGGACACCCTGTGCTAGGGGTGCCCACCACAAAGGACCCTTCTCCCTTTGAGCAAACAGCTCCTTGTCCTGCCTCTGAAGCCACCCAGATGCTCAGGTCACAGCTAGGAGAGCTAGTCCCAAGCTGGGAGCATGGGGATGGGCACAGGGAGGTGGCAGATCCTATGGCCTTGTGTCCCTCTTCCCATCAAAGGTGGCATTTGCCACCGGAATTTATCCCTTGTAGGCAGGCACAGGGTAATCACTGCAGGAATGAGGAAGGTGGGAAGAGCTCCTTAAGTTTATCTTGGCCCCTCCAATGGTATTTACACACTTTCTGGTGAAGGAGAATTTTTCCCATTTGGCATCCTGGGAAGTGCAGTCACGAGTTGTGTTGGCACCAGGTCCCGTGCTGGAGAGGGGCTGGACGAGCCACCTGAGCACCAGGGCAGGTGGGGAAGCTGGAGCCCAGCCCTGCTGCTCACCTCGATGGCATTCTTGCCAGGGTGGTTCTGGGCAAGCAGCTGATCTCCATCTGCATGGAGCTTGTTGATGGCCTCCTCCTTCTCCTCCAGCTTCCGGTGGATGAAGTTCTAGATGGAGAGAGGCAAGATATTAATCCTCATGCAAAGAGAGAGACTGGCTGTGTCCTGAGCTACTCTGAAAGGGTCCACAAGACCAAAAGTGCTGCAGCTTTTGCAGATGTTGCTGCAGATGTGACTCTTGCCAAGGGAGAGGAGAACAAGGAAGCCACTGAGCTTCCTCCTGCCATTGCCTTTGGCAGCAGGGAAGGATTCACATCACCCTCCTGCTACCACCCGTGCACCTGAAAAGTGCTTCATGATGGTGCGGGGGAAACTGAGGCACGGGGAAAGGAACATTTTCTGCTCCAGACCAAGCCCCAGCCTGCTCCCCTGGCTCTGTGCCCACCCCCCTCCCTGCAAAACCCCCGGCCAGGCTGGAGCACAGACCTCGTACTGGCGGCGCCGGCTGGGATAGTCCAGGTTGTGGTCACTCCAGTCGTAGTGGGTCCTGTCCTTGGCCTGCTGGTCCAGCCAGTAGAGCTTGTTGGTGCAGCGCTGCATGTAGTCCTGCAGGGAGTTCAGATCCTGCTGCCGTTGCTGGGAACTGGCCTGGAAGGGTCAGAGGGGAGAGCTCAGCCTAAGCCTCCTCCCCACGGGTCCCCTGGGGGTGCTTGGCCACCCCGGGAAGGGAGCCCTGCCAAGGGCTCTGCCCCCAGCATCTCAGGGGTCTCTTACCAGCAGCTTCTGGTACTTGGCTTGGAATTCGTTCATGAATTCCTGGTGAGAGAGGAGAAGGCAAGAGTTAGGAACATGGCTCTGGAGAGTTGGGGGCTGGATGAGGGAGGGGACATGGGGGTCTGAGATCTGCCTCGTTGGAAAGTGAGAGCTGGTGTCTGATGCTCAGCTCTGGGAGCAGGTGTGGAGCTGGGCAACCACCCAGGCTGGCCCAGGCCATAGGATGGTGGGGATGCCCTCACCTGGCTTGGGGTAGGGCTGACCTGCTGTGGGATCTGCTGCAGGGCATCCTGCTCTAGCAGGGGGGCTGGACTGGGTGATCTTCAGAGGTCCCTTCCAACCCCACCACTCTGTGTCTGTGACCCCGTGGGCAGCAGGGAGGGGGGCAGGAGAGCTGACCTTGTTGCCTTCCTTGACGATGTGTGGGCCGATGGCCATGACCTCGTTGTGGAAGATGTTGTGCTCTTCTACTTGGCTGTTGACCAGTGGCAGGTCAGTCCCGAAGCCCTTGCTGCTCAGTGCATCCTGTGGTCCATGAGAGGGGAGGTGAATGATGGGGGAAGGGGATGAACTGGGAAACTCCTCTTGGAGGTGGGAATGGAGCTGAGCTTGGACAGGCTCCAGCACTGGAAGCTCGTGGTGCCCAGGAGCCTTGTGGGTCAAGGCTGGCTGTGCTGGATGGTGGCCATGGGAAGGCCAGTTTGGGGGTTTTAACTCTATTCTGGCTGGAAGAGCCCAGTGCTGGGGTAAAATGAAGAGGAAGGGTCCCAGAGCAGAGCCTGAGGCAGGAGGTGACTGGGAATGCCAAGACAAGGGCCCAATGGGAGAGGCTGAGGCTGTTTCAGCCTTGGCAGGAGAAGTCTTTCGGGGGGGGGGGGACCCAACAGCATCCTTCTCATAACTCTGGGGAACTTGTTGAGTAAACAGAGCAGGGCTCTGCAGGGTGGTGTGTGGTGGAGAGGTGACAGGCTTGATGGAAACAGGGGAAGCACAGATTGGGTATGAGGAGAAGCTTTTCCACCCTGAGGGCACTGGGGTGTTGGAGCACATTGCCTGGAGAAGGAGCGTGGTCTCCATCCTTGGATGGGAAAGGGCAGAGGTTTCCCTGAGCCCACCCAAGAGGTCAGTGGGCTGAGCCCCATGTCCTGAAGGCCAGGCTGGTGTGTGCTCCTCCAGAAACCCCTGATCCCCTGGAGCTTTTCCCCTCTCAGCCTGGCTCCTTGTCCCACCACCCTCCCCTGCCACCCAACTCCCCACCTCCTTCCCCTGCCTCTGCTGCTCCCAGGCTCCAGCAGCCAAGAAGGCTTCCAGGAGCCACGGGGGAGATGCACGAGGTCCTGTCTGTCCCCACTGGTGCTGCTGGTCCCCTCGGTACCTGTTTCTCCTCGATCTCTGTGGACCAGTTGACCTGGGGCTCGATGTGCTGCAGGGGGAAGCTGTAGATCTGTTGGTGTTTCACACGTAAGTTGGCCACTCGTTCCTTCAGCTGCCGGATGCTGCAGGAAGGGGAAGAGGAGGGTGGGATGCAGGACGTGGACATGGACCAGCTTTGGCATCCGTGGCTGCAGCTGATCCCCTCCCAGCCTCTCTAAGGAGGGAGACTGTCCCTCAGGGACCTCGGGCAGGCCAGTGCTGCCAGGCAGGCTGACAACAAACATGTTGTGCAATGGGCTTGGGGAGGGAGAGGGCAAAGGTTCCCATGTGAATCACGTCCACCAGCTCAGGGCAGACTGGTGCTGGGGGAGTGTGGCCTGTTCAGTTGTGAGCAGATATTACACAGTCATGGAATGGTTTGGGTTGGAGGAGACCTTAAAGACCACCTAGTTCCAACCCCCTGCATGGGCAGGGACACCTCCCACCAGCCCAGGTTGCTCCAAGCCCCATCCAACCTGCCCTTCAACACTGCCAGGGATGGGGCAGCCACAGCTTCCCTGGGCAATCTGGGCCAGGCTCTCACCACCCTCATCGTGAAGAATTTCCTCCTCATATCTCATCTCAATCTCCCCTCTAATAATCTTAAAACTGTTGCCCCTCATCCTCTCCCTCCCTGCCCTTGTCCCAAGTCCCTCCCCAGCTTTTCTGGAGCCCCTTCAGGCACTGGAAGGTGCTCTAAGGTCTCCCTGGAGCCTTCTCTTCTCCAGGCTGAACACCCCAACTCTCCCAGTCTGGCTCCAGAGCAGAGCTGCTCCAGCCCTTGGACCATCTTTGTGGCCTCCTCTGGACTCAATCCAAATATTTCTGTGTTGAGGACCCCAGAACTGGACCTAGCACTGCAGGGAGGGTCTCCCCAGAGTGGTGCACCCCGTGGTGCTCTGTGCAGAGCACATTGCCTGCTGTGCCCCTGTTCTCACTCTAGGTCAGCCCGAGGCTGCTGGGGCTTGTGCTCCTCACTGAGAACTGGGCTGTGGAGCCTGTGCTGCCTCCTCCAGCTGTGGGCAAGAGCTGAGCCCCTTGAGAAGGGTCCTCCACCCTGCAGGGCTCTGGAGACAAGCCCCCTCACCCCTGCTACTCACTCTTCTGCAATCATGTCACCCTGGGGGTGCTTCATGTGCCGGGCAACGGCCGCGTCCCCGTCCAGCACGTAGAGCAGCTTCTCAGACTCGCTGAGTTTCTGGGCTGTCAGGTCCTTGTGCTGTGCCAGCTGGCAGGCCTTGATCTTGTGCAGGTCCTGGGGAGGAAAGGGCAGCAGAGGACAGTCAGTGGTACCCGGGAGGGCTGGGCCAGCTGCTCCTGCCCTGTGCAGCAGCGATGGGCAGGACGGACAACCAGGGAGGTGTTTTGGTTTCTCCCCGGGTGTCTGAGCCCCAAGGGAGGGTTGTGGCTTGGGGGGCTGTTGTCTCGGGGTGCGTCCTTGGGAAGGGGAGGGCGTTTCAGGCCCCTCTTCCCCAGGGGACAGTCAGTGGTACCCGGGAGGGCTGGGCCAGCTGCTCCTGCCCTGTGCAGCAGCGATGGGCAGGACGGACAACCAGGGAGGTGTTTTGGTTTCTCCCCGGGTGTCTGAGCCCCAAGGGAGGGTTGTGGCTTGGGGGGCTGTTGTCTCGGGGTGCGTCCTTGGGAAGGGGAGGGCGTTTCAGGCCCCTCTTCCTCTGTCCCACCTGCCTGTTGGGATACACACCTAGGTATGCACATCCCTGCCCTGGGCAGGGAAGGATTTTGGGGCCCTGTTACACCCTCCCTTCTCCCCACGGCCCAGGGGAACCCCCACATCTCTCCTTTAGGGCTCAGCACAGGGCAGGGGGGCCGTGAAGACGTGCCCGAGGAGAGGACAAGAGGCCAGTGGAGCGGGGCTGGGGTGGCAGGAGGAGCAGCCCGGGCCGGGGGGGCCGGTGCTCTCTTACATTCTGCATTCGGGAATCGGTCTCCACGATGTTTTTCTCCACCTGGTCGGCATTTTTCTGCAGGCGCTCGATGAGCTCGGTCAGCTCTTTGCTGGAGATGCTGGGGAGATAAAAAGAAAAAGAGGGGGGCAGAGCCGTCACCCCAGCCCCCCCAGCATCCCCACCACCCCCCGGGCGGGGCTGCCCGGGGGTCCCGGGGCGGGGGGTGCGGGACCAGCCCCCCCCGCTGCAGCTGCGCCTGAGGCACCGCTGCCGCCTCCAAGGCTTTTTCCAAAACACTGGGGCTGAGCTGCCAGGAGGGGGTTGGGGACTTGGTGGCTCTGGTGCCGGAGATGAGGCTGAGCCTCCCCTTGGCTCCGCAGCCAGAAGGAAAAGTGCCCTTTGCAGGGGGACAAGGAGTAGCGGGGAACACGCGCAGCGGGGCGGGGGGGTCCCCCCGGGCTGCCGGCCCGGCTGTTCCCCCCGCTTTGGGGCACAGCCCGGGCTCGGAACCCCTGCTCTGCCTCCTCAGGGTCGGGGCTTTCTTTGCCCTGCAAGGAGTTAGGATTTCAGGGATGGGAGAGCTCACGCTGCATCCCCCTCCTGGTGCTTTAGCCCAGCGCTGGGTTCGTGCTCCCAGGGTGATGTTGGGCTCCCTTTGCCCTGCCAGGAGTGACAACTTAAAGCAAATCAAGGGATGGGAGAGCTCACTTTGCATCCCCCTCCTGGTGCTTCAGCCCAGCGCTGCTTTTCTCTGCTCCCGGGGTGATGTGGGTCCCAGGCAGCCGGGCTGGCAGGGTCAGCCCGAAATGTTCCCAGCGACGGCTGAGCTGGAGCAGAGGCAGAACAACCCGTGATGCAGCTTTTGCCTCGCTGGGCTTATTTTAAACATTTCATCTTCTTGCTGTCACTGGGGCTGCAAGGAGAGGCTGCAACGTGCCAGGGCTGGATGCTGTGCCAGGCAGGGCCCACAGCTCCCCTCTGCGGGCCGGGAGGAGCAGGGTGTGCACCCCAAAACCCTTGCAGCAAGGGGGGGTGATGGTGGGAAGGCTGGTGGCAAGGCTGGGGGGTTCATGGTGGCCAGGGAAGTGCCAAGACTGGGGCTCCTTTGGGCTTAAACCAAGGGTTGGATCACTCCAATCCCAGCCGTTGAGTGGGGATAATGAGTCTTAATGGCCTCGTTATTGCGGTGGTAAAATTAATCTTTGTGTGGTGCTGGGTGGTGGTAACTGCTCGGTGCAGGTCCCAGGAGATGAGTTGGGTGTCCCCTGCAAAGGCTGACAGGGCTGGCTGGGGAAGAGCAGAGCTGGCTGGTGGAGCAGCAGGAACCCAACCCAGCCCCTGCCCTGGTGTGGGGCAGAGAGCTTCTGGTGTGGGGCAGAGCTCCTGGTGTGGGGCGGAGCCCCTCCCCCCCCAGCTGGACACAGCCTCATCCAGCAGCCCCAGCAGCCCAGCTCCAAGGGGTCCTGCAGCAACAAGGTCCAGCATGGGGCAGGGTTTGACCACATGAGCTTTTCCAGGCCAGCACAGGACACAATCTCCTGCCCTCCACAGCAGGGTGAGCCAAAGCTGAGGGTGGACATGGCCTGTCAGCCTCTTCCAGGGCTTTGTGGTGGCTTCCCTGGACATATACTCAACTACCAGCAAGTAAGAGCAGTGGTGGCCTCATCCCTCCTGGGGACTGCACAGAGCCACAGCTA